CCAATTGTCCAAATTCTGTCCGAAAGAACACTGGCTTACAGTTAAAATCAAAAGAATGAAGAAATTTATTCGTTTCATTATAATGGCGGCGTAATCCGAAAAATTGCGAATATCACTAGATTAATTTAAATGATGTCAATTTTGATGGCGAAACAATTTAAAAATTTAACAATTTGAAGCTTGAGTGCAAATGATATAATAAAATTCAATGTTAATAATTTTGTGATACTAAATTAACAAAATGAAAACAACTTACTCCAATTGTCCAAATTCTGTCCGAAAGAACACTGGCTTACAGTTAAAATCAAAAGAATGAAGAAATTTATTCGTTTCATTATAATGGCGGCGTAATCCGAAAAATTGCGAATATCACTATATTAATTTAAATGATAAAAATATCTGAGGGCGAAACAATTACAATTTAACACTTTAAGGCTTGAGTGTAAGTTGAAGCAGAGAGTTAAAGTACACTTTCTCCACCATCGATCACTCTTAGGCTTGCTCATAGAGAATAAAAAGAAGATAAAAATGTTTCAAGGACTCCGACTAGAAAAATCAATCCATAAAACTCCATATTCAAATCAAGATGTTACAGACCAAATCTGTCTTAGGATACTATAATTCCGAATTCGGTTAAGGATGTTAGTTATCTATGTTCGGATGAAAAATCATTCTTTTCCGGTATTCATACTCGAACTTCTCTCCTTTGGGGTTAGCCCGCTCCCTTCACTTCGGTTTGCGGTCAATGGTACTTTGCCTCCTTCCTCTATGCAAATCTAGTCTGGTTGCGTTCTAGCCACACTGTTGCAGTTTAAGCAGCCCTTTGATCGTCGGTTATGATTTTTATTTATCGTTCAGATATTTCATTACAAAAGTAACCCGATTTATATTTTACTTTAGTTAACTGAACCACTTGTGAACCTGAAGATGTCTTCTTCAACCACTGATGATCGTAAAACTATCTCTGCTTCGCTCAAACGCGAGATTGCCTCGACACATCATTTGAGACATACTAAAAATTAAAGATTTCATTTTCCAAATCCTGTCCGAAAGAAGACTGGCTAACAGTTAAAATCAAGTTGTCCCGCTTGCGGGACAACTTCTAGTGAATAAAGTCGCCGTCGCAAATATGACCTTAACAGGTTCCATGCGGCGGGGTGGTGGAGGGCGAATCTTGATGTTTGAGTTAAAATCAAAAGAACGAAGAAATTTATTAGTTCCATTATAATGGCGGCTGAATCCGAAAAATCGCGAGTATCACTAAAGATTCATTTAAATGATAACAATATCTGATGGCGAAACAATTTAACAATTTGAGGCTTGAGTGTAAATGAAGCAGAGAGTTAAAGTACATTTTTCCACGTTTATCAATGGTTATCTGTTTGCCTCAACAGACTAATAATCGATCAGCAGCCACACAAAATAACTACAAATTGATTGATGAATTTCAAATGCATCATTAACATAAACAGTTAAGGGCGATACTAAAATTGTTGGAAGTGCTCTCGGCGACTCCACATTCAAATTATGCCATTTTTAAAAAACTTCCAATATTCATCTTATTGGTCACTCATTGCGGGGTTCGCACGTGATGAATTAAAACTGAAAGGAACTATTTCATGATAAGGAATTCGACTTCAAACTTCAGGCTAAATCCGGCAAACATTACAAAAAATCAACAGAAATAACAAAATATTGCAAGGCAGACAGAATTTAACAAACTGGTTTGATAAACAATATTGTAGGTTGCTTGGTTGTGCTTGGAAATGCTTGCTCGCATCCATATAAAATACCATAATCACATCGAAAGCCCCTTGGAGTGGTTGTGTGAAGCCACTAAAAGCCACTAAAATTTTCAGAATCCAATAGTAAAAGAACATATGCAAACGCGTGATTCAATGTATATAAATTTATCAATTTACTCACCCTAAATCAATGGCACTCATATATCACACTCTCAGTCATTTAACATACACTCCAGCTATTGTGAACCAATCTTTATAACTTTTTTTCCATTGAAACATGGCTAAAAGGACTACAATCAGGTTCACCGAATCCCTTTTGATTCGAAGAAGATTAAAAGAAGAAAAAAGTGTGTTTATAAACAAAAGTACGAAACCAAAACTTTTTTCATCAAGATCCAATTTCGCTGTGTTTTCTTTGCTTTCCAACAAGTCACAGCAAAAAATTTTCTCGAAGTATGGTATGGATGAACAAATGAACTTTTTGGAGACAGTGTAAGTTTTTGATCTATTTATGATCGTCAATTTATGAATTTGACTTCAAACTTCAGGCTAAATCAGGCAAACATTACAAAAAATAACCAGAAATAACAAAATATTACAAGGCAGACAGAATTCGACAAGCTATTTAGATGGTTTGATAAGCAATACTGCATGTATACAAAAAACCTTTTCGATGTTTGGGTTACGGATAAATAGAGTCAAACTTTAAGAGCTATTCTTATCGTTTTAGTAATAATCATGATAATTGAAAAATTGCTTAACGTTGGTTTATATGGTTTGTAGACGAATTAACTAGACACTATTTGAATATTTACAGTGCAGTAATGTTCTGTTTTGGTTACAACAGAAAGTTGTAACTACTACACTTTGTAATCGAAATGCAATCATTTCATGGAGTGCTTTTTTGACCTGCGTCCCTACCATTTTAACGTATTCAATGCATAAAAAATGTAAAAAACCTTTTCGATGTTTGTGTTGGCAAAACTGATAAAATTCCAATCGATTTCAAATGCAATTTAACAGCAAGCGAATTGGCAATCCTCATTCGATGGCAGAAAAGTTACGGTATTTATAATCCATGGGTTTACAAGATCTTTCAACGAAAGTGTCTGGACAGTAGTAAGTTAAAAGATAAAAAGATCTCTTTTTATATTATGCAAAGCAGTTTTTCACATTTCTCATTTTATGGAAAAAAACTCTATTATTCGCGTACGAAGAAACATGTTTCAATATTGGTGTTGATTAGTCTGGTGGGGCTAGCACCTTGAACAGTTATAGACGTGTGGCGAATACGCAAGTAGCTGGTGCTGCTGTGGCGTATTTTTCGAAAGCTTGATAAAATCTTCAGGATTGGATCCTGACAGAATTTATATCATCGGCCATTCTCTTGGAGCCTACGTCGCGGGCTATACGGTGAAAATTGCAAACTAGAAAAATTGAGAGAATAACGGGATTTGATCAGGCTAGACCATGGTTCTTTGAGGTTGATCATCGACTTAACGCAGCTGATGGAAACTATGTGGAAATAATCCACACGGATCATGCAAAATTTGGTGAGAATATTTCATATATTTGCTCTCTTTTATTTACAAGTAGATGAGTTTTTGTGCTTGGCTCGCAGTCTAGTTTTTCTCAGGAAATTATTGCATTACTTTTAATATGAATTTTTGTCTTTTTAGGCATTGTTTACTGATTATTCTCGAATAAAACGACTGTCAAAATATTTATGAATACCGAAATGAAATGAGTGGTTTGCATGGTGGTCTAAAAGCTGGAGGCAAGGTATAGGAAATGGCCAGAAAAAACAGTATAATACAATACAGTTAATATTAACTGTCTAGGCTTTTTACTTAAATTGACATAGAAAATCATCATTAAGTGGTTTAACTATCACATGTATCACATCATCACATCACATCATCCTTAAAGATGAAGGCACGGTATAACGAATAGCTTGAAAAAACAGTATAATATGATACAATACAGTCAGTATAAACTGTCTAACTTGTTACTTGAATTGATCATTGAATGATTTTCATCATTGACTTTGACTATCAGTATCTTTGACTGACTCAGAGGTTTAACTATCACATGACATATCACATCATCATCACATCTTGCTTAATTATACTTAGCAACATAAAATTGTTGCTGGCTGCAATATATTTTCATCTTCAACTGCATAGTTTGAATAATTTTCTAAATAAATCAATTAAAAAGAGTGTTTATTGCACAAATCAGTTTTGCTACAAAGGACCAACAATTATCTTAATCAGATAGTCAATACAAGAGAACACAAAGGTCTGGTATCAGAATTTTTACGGGAAATATTCATAGGTTTGTTTTTCGGCACTTGGAACGTTGAATATTTTTTATCGAAATGAAAACATTTCATGGATTAGTTTATATATTATTGACTCTTATCAATTCGAGTTCAATGCATACGGGCATAAAGTGTAAGTTTTCCACAAATTTCAATTTTTATCGAGACTATTTACATGCTTATTTATACTACTGTATTGAGAATTTTAAATTAATTTTTATACAAATTGATTGATAAATTTTCAATTTCATAATTAATATAAAGCAAACAGAGGTAATAATTTAAATTGTTTAATTATGTGGTAATGACAAATAATGATTCAATTTAAGTGTCTTTCATTAGTATCAACGACAAAATATCATATTTTGATTAAGTTTAATAAAATTTGATTTCTTACTGTTTGTGAGTTTTCGCGGATGCACCGCACAAAATGAAATAGAAAAGAGAGAAAGCTAGTTTGTACTCATTCAGATCCATTGAGTTCCAGTACGATAAATCTAGTAATTTAATTCAGTCTTTTAATTGATCTACGCAAAACGCCACTGCAAAAGATATTAACAAAATAAGAAATAACTTTGAAAAGACCAACATAGATCTTCCACGCTCGAGCTCGTATAGAATTACGGAAAACAAGTAAAAGAAAAGTAAAGTGTAGACAGAAGGTTGATGACAGGGAAAAACAGAGAAGCGAGTAAGGTGGAAATTGTGGCCTATCTGGCTCTGATTTTTCTGATTTATCTCTGAGTCAACTTATCATGAAAAGGAACACAGATTTTATCTCATTCGTAACTATTAGGTTGGCCGGATACAGTTTAGGGTCGAGGTTTCAATTATAATACGGTCCCTACATGTTTCGCTACTGCGCTAACCAACTCAAATTATTTTTTAGAGTCTATTCTTTTATTTTCAAGTGTTTTTTTTCTGTTAAAAATATGGATAAAGTTCAAAAGTTAAAAGAACTGACCAGTGTCCGAGATCAGAAAGTGATTATTAGATTTTTGTGGATATCTCAAGAATCTTCTGGAGTAATTCACTCAAAATTGGTAAAAATCTTTGGTGGACAAGCCATTTCAAAAAAAGCTATCGAATCTTGCATTAAGAGATTCAACAAAGGTGATTTGGACATCGAAGAGCACAGGAGTGGTACATCGAAAGGTCGTGATGTCAGAGAAGAACGGTTGACTGTTATTGAAGATGCATTGGCGGATTCAAGACATTGGTCAACAAGGAGCTTAGCCGCAAAAGTATCGATTCCTCTGACAACTGTAAAAGCTTATCTGAATGATCGCTTAAAATTGAGGAAAAGGCTCGGAAAATGGGTCCCCCATGATTTGTCCGAAACCAATAAAGAAAACCGTGTTCTAAGCTGCAGATTGGCCTTGCAAATGATAAGGGATGATCCAGATTGCCTTAAGAAAACGGTAACAATAGACGAGACGTGGGTCTCACTTTATATGGCTCCAGATCGGAATCAACAGCGGCAATGGGTATATCCGGGAGAAGAACCTGAACCAGTCACCAAAGAAAACATCCATGGCAACAAGAGGATGCTCATTATGGGTGTGGACTGGAACGGCATTGCTTTTTGGGAGCTGTTACCGGAGAAAACGACCGTAACAGCTGATGTTTATAAGTCATTTCTTGTTGACAAATTACCAGTTTGGATCAATGAAAATAAACATCAGAGGCCTTATCTGTTACACGATAACGCCAGACCTCACAAGGCTGCCCCCGTTGTGCAACTTTTGGAACGCAAGGGTATCACCATTTGGCCTCACCCTGCATATTCTCCGGACATATCACCGCTAGACTTCAACTGTTTCGGCCAACTTAAACGTCACCTTAGGGGCATCAAACATGCCAATTGGACCGAGTTTGAAACTGCATTAGTTGAGGCTGTAGAGGACTTAAATAGTAAAAACCTTATACAGGGTGTTCGGATGCTTCCAGAAAGATGGAAACGTGTAATTGAATGTAATGGAGATTACATATAATATGTACGAAATTTGATTAGAATCAATAAAACACAAAGAAAGTTATTCAAAAAAACTCGACCCTAAACTGTATCCGGCCAACCTAATATTAACTCTAAAGTAAGTTTTTGTCCATAGTCGATAATTTGAAAGTTTATTTTAATTCTTTTGCTCGGTATTTATTCTTACCTTGGATCGATGTAAATGTCTGAGGAAATATGTGATGCCCTTAGATTTTTATGCCTGAATGCGATTCAAGTCCACCGCTCGCATATTGTACTCATAATGTGCTATGAAACTCAGATCAATAGATATGAATATTGCTGAATAGATGAGAAATGTCTTGTAGTAAAAATTAAGTTTGACTGTCTCATTGCCAAGGTGGAATAATCAATTCAAAACTTATTTGAAACTAAATTCATTGAATTTTACAATTATGAAGAATTAAATGAATAAAAGTATCATATAACAGGAAATATTGAAACAAAAAATGAAGGCACAAAAGAGCAAATTTTTTTTCAGGAAGCAAAAGAAATAAAAGTATTAACTTTAGGTAAATGTGGTAACATGAATTCAACATTTATCTTGAATACATTACTTTTTGATCAAAATATTCAACATTCTTGTCAACTTTTTTTTCCTTTTCATTCATTTCTCACCCAAGGCTATCCTTTTATTTCCTGACAATATAACCATTCAACTCGTTTCATTCATTCATCCATTTTTTCTCATTTTAACTATTTTCTTATCATGTTAACTGGGAGTTATTATTATTATCATTATCATCACCATTATTATTGCGATGATTATTGCCCCTGTTACTTCTAAATAAATTGAGTTTTCTTTGGTGGTTCTTTTTTTCCTCTCTCACTTTCTCACTATTTGTTCAAACAGATTCACTCAGATTATGCTTCAAACCATAATCTGTAAAAAATAAGGTTTTCCCTGATGATGATGATGATCATATTAGGAACCAGCATTTTGCAGTAAATTGTAGTAGCCTTCCATTAATTTGAAACATTTGTCACAATAATATCATCAAATTCTTACCCATGTTATTATTTCATTCTCTTAACCAATTATTTTGGTAATTTTTAGGCTCAATTCAACATCTTTTTCTTGCTTTACTTTTCTCTCCATCTTCATCATTTTACTCACATTTCTAAGAACTTTTTTTTCTTGTATATTTTCTCGCTTTCATTTTGTTTCATTTTTACTGTTTGTTTTTTTTCTGTTCATTTGAAACACTTTTTTTCTTCCTTCTTTTTCTGTCTACTTGTAACTAACGACATTGGATGGATTCTCATATCAATCAAAAATCCAAGCTTCATGATAATGATGATGACTTGAAGGGAATTATTACATTCAAGGTGATTAATTTTGTTATAATCATCTGAAAATAATCTCAAATTGAAGACAGTCTAGCAAAATCCTCTTCACTTTGCTTTGCACACTAAAAGTAATGATTGATTTGAATGTTACATGAAGGAAATAATAAGAAAAGAAAAGCAGCTCAAAATTGATGTGAAACACAATTTTTGATCCCAGTTACTAACAGTTACGTTAAATGGTTATCCATTATCATGGCATGCACTTTGATAAAAAAGTTATTAAGGATGAGACTGGAAACTGATCAAGTTTAGCGATAGTTGCTCGAGTTTACGAGAAATACAATTACAAAAATGTTTCAATTTTTCATCAAATTTTCACTCGATCCAAGTTTCAACTTTTGTCTTTTACTGTCAAAATGCTAGATTGAAACGAAATCCTTTTTTGCAACATTTTGCTCAATTATCATTCCAAGTTTAATGTTCGAAAATATTTAATCGATATTTGAAAATACTTTTCTAGCAAATGAAACTTGATTGATGTTCACGTTATGATCTGAAAATCTTTAGAATGAGGAAGTTATCAGAGATTGAGGGGTAAAAAGTCGAACTATTAGTTCAATGGTTTACGAAGAATGCAAGTCCATTTTAGAACTGAATTTGACATGATTTATTCATTGTTCAGAATCGAGTTTATGGCCTAATTTAGAAATAATAAATCGACAAATTGGTTGCAATTTTCGAGTTTGAAGTTCGAAAATTATTGCATTTAGAAGACTTTGCTTCTCTGGAAAAGGATGAACTTTTATCCATCTCTTTTTAAGAGTTTTACTTTTACCTATTCTTTGTTCAATCCTGATCATTTTCAGAGTCAATTTTATCTGCTCAGGTTGAACATTTTGACGTGAAATCGAGTGCAACATTTACCATGACTTGAATGAAATTCATTGGCATCATTATTCATTAAAATACTTTACCATCATAAAGGTTGCAGATAAAGTAGGAAAAAGATTTTCCATGGAAAAAGAAAGGAAGAAAAAATTGATTCCAAAAGCTATTCATTTTCATTTTTACCAGTTATATTCATGAATTGTGAACAGAAAAGTAGAGAATTGATTTATTTTTCCAAATGATAATGATTGGTGAAAGAGAAAGAAAGAGGATGAAAGTTTTCTCTGAAACTTGAGACAAGAATAATTTGATCATCATGTAATAACATGAAAAAAGATTACGAGATAACAAGAAGAATAAATGTGATAAATGAATTTTTTTCTGTGAACTTTTTTTCAGCTAAAGTTCTGAGTAAAGATTGGATAAGAGGAAAAAAAGTTGAAATAATATCAAATGTATTCAATGTTATTATTTTAAATAGATTAAATTTCAATTAAATTTGATTAGTGATTGATGAATGAATGAAGCTTTTTTTTCCTTTTCTCTGAACATCGAATTTGTAAAGACTGAATTTTTCTTCTGCTTCGTCAATGAAAGCTAATATCATTTGTATTGATGGTGAATATAAACTCTAAATAGACAAGCAGCTTGGAGGAAGCGGTAACGTTGCCAATAAATGCAAGGATAAACAGTGAAAACAATTGAACTTTGGAACAGGGAATGAAGAAAAAGGCAAAATATTTAATTCACATGGAATAATTGAGTTGAAACTTTTTTTGTTCAAATTCAATTTTTTCTCCTTTTCTTGCCAATTTGTTCAATTTTTTCTCTCTTTTTTCAAGTTCTTTATATTCATTGAATTTTTCAATTGTTTCAAAAACGATGAAGTTTCTCTTTTCTCCACTTTGAATACACAATTTTACAGGGAGTTTCAGCTAGTTGAAACGTCTATGAATGATTATCATGTATTCAGGACCATTTTCATTGCCAATTTTGCATTTCATTCTGTTGTTGAAAAATAACTCAATTCAAGCCAAGCTGATGATTTGAGTCAACCTGAGTGGTTATGTCTCTCTGCACTTGATTTGATGAATGGTTTGCCTCATTTTCACAAAGTTTAACTTTTCCTATTTTGTTATTTTTCTGTGGAAATTTTTTCATTCATCATTTCGTTAATCATCTGAATTTTCGTGATTTTCAATTCAATTATAGACAAGTTTGGCTCTTCTGTCACTAGATATACCAGCTCTGACCGTAGTCAGTCCATGCACTATCAACTAATAATTTCTGACCTAACCAAGTATAGTAGCCTACATGAAGGACTTGCTGAATGAAGTGCCTCTGTTTGCCCAGTGTTTGATTATTGTTTTACAGTCATTTTGTTTAGAAAATTTTGGAACAAAAATTTTTGACTTTTTACTTTTTGTTTTTTTCATTTCTCGAACTTATTCAAGTTGAAAATCCGACATTTTAATTTTAATTCAATTTACACTTGATATCAACTGAGGGATGAGACTAAGCTTGGAGTTGACCTGAATGAGTGAAGTAACCTGCACTGGATTTGATGAGTGATGAGCCTCTTTTGTTGTGAAACTTTCAACTTTTGTTTTTGTCATTTTCCAGATAATTTTGCCCTTTTGTGCTTCAACTTTGTTCATTAAAATTCTGTTTTCAATTTTCTCTTTCGTTCTATGAGTTATTTATTTTTGGAATACTCTGTTTTTCTTTCTATTTTCGACTTTTCTGCCTCTCCATTCCTTCCCAATTGCCACACTCAATGCTCATGTTGTGCTCAAGTTTTTTTTCTTGCTGAACGCTTCATCTACTCTTGTTCACTCTCATCATGAAACTTTACTCTATCTCCATCTAAATGCAAATTTTATTTCATTTTGTTTGAATCAACTTTTAACTTCTGTTCTTGTATTCTTTTCTCGCTCTCTTCCTTTCATTCTGCCTGTCTTTTATTCTTGTTTTGTCATCAACATCATCATCATCAAGTTCTCATCTTTAGCTTTTTCTTCATCATTTCTATCACTTTTTTTTCTCAACTCATCATCTTTTTTTCCTCTCCTCTTCATTTCAATCATGGATGTCTGCTCTTTCGCCCAATTTTCATTCAACTCAGCGTGACTCCTGTTGAGCAAGAAAAAATGTTCATCTCAACTCATTGAAGCGCCAGAAACAGAATCATGATGATATCAAATGAACAACCTTTCCCTGTTATAATACATTGGACAATATCATCAAAAGACTTAAACTATTATCTAAAGAAAATTTGAGTAATTCCATTGAGATTTGACTTCATTGGATCAGAATCATGATCAAATTACTCAGTGAATAGCGTAAAAAACATCATCTATCAGTTGTACAAGTTTAACTATTATTTATTTGCTTCATTAAACTTCAGCAAACTAAACGAAATTCAGCTAATCGCAAGCTCCGAAGCAAGCACAATTCGTCAGCTTCTGATCGATCAAGCAAAATATGAAAAAAATGATGAAAGTAGCAGCATGAGAGAAGAAGAACATAAAAAACTGAACTTTCTTGAAATTTTGCACTCCAATATTCATCAAGAAAAATAATTCACATTTACTAATGAGCATTGAATCGTTTGTTTTGCCAATTCCAGTGACAGTGCAAATCAACATTTAATAATGAAGTAAATGAAAAGTTCAGTGATGAAGATGAACTCAACAGGAGCGAAAGGGCAAAAGTAATGAGTTACTAATGAGGAAAAGATCATCGAAAGGCAAAGATTCTTGCATTCACTTCTCACCATTAATAAAAGTTTTGCGATTTTAA